GGTACTGGCTATGCCGAGGACGGACGCGACTTCTTCGAGGACGAAGACGAATACTCTGAGGAAGAAATTGATGATAAAAAGGACAAAAATAAGAAAAACAGTAAGAAACGTCCACGCGAAGGCGATAAGCCAGTGAAGGGGAAAAGTTCCATACGCAACCTGTTCAGTAACGCTGTTCCCAAGAAAACAAAAGTAACTTCGTTGGCGGAAGATAACATATTGGCAGATATTTTAGGTGAAATGCATGGAAATCCCAAGAGTTCTACTTCGAATGGCATTAAGAATGCTTCAGAGACTGAAGTGAAATCAACAGGTGTTATAGCGCCTGCCAGGATTGTAAGTAAATCTACTAGAAAATCAGATGCCGCGCTTGCCAAAGAGTATATGAATAGTTTCATAAATAATATTAAAATGTCTGAACCAGTAAAAAAGCCCGAGGAAGCCAGTGATGATGAATTGTTAGACCGTATTCTCAAACCGAAACAAACAGTAGCGAATAAAAAGTCTGTAGAAAAACCGAAAGTCAAGGACGAAAAAGCAGAGGCTGCAAACCAATCAGAAGTACAAGGGGCGAGTAAAAAGTCGGTAGGAAAACCGAGATGCACGGACGAAAAAACAACGGCTACAGAACAGTCAGAAAAGCCAGTGGCATTTAAGAAGGCAAGTGTGGTGGTGACTGCAGAGAAGCCAGTAGAGCACAAGAAACCCGAAAAAAACGTAGAGAAGACCGCACCTTTAAAAGAAACAAAAACGCCTGAAGCTGATTTTCCTGACGATGATATGGATTTCAGTTGTTTGCAGAGCGAAGAAAATCGATTAGATAAAGTTGAAAGCGTATCAAAAAAAAATGCAGTTAAAAAACTAACTTTAGCCCCAGCTAAAGATGCTGACGACTTGCAGAACTTATTAAGTAACTGGGAGCAAATATGTCAAATGGACAATTTTGAAGCAGAAAGTGCAACAAGCGAAAGCAATGCAGCGATGGGTACGAGTGCGCCAGACACCTTAAAATTCTGGTATTGGGAAGCATGGGAAGATCCAAATAAATGTCCGGGTGAAGTTTTTCTTTTTGGACGCACCGCAGAAAATAAGTCGATTTGTGTGCGCGTGGAGAAGATCGATCGCATTCTGTATCTGCTGCCAAGAAAATATGTGAGCACAAGAAAAATTAATACTTTTCTATGACAGCAATATTTTTCTTTTATTATTTTATTGTTAATACAGCTACTAGATCCAATTACGAAAGAACAAACTGGTAAACTTGTCCAACTGAGCGATCTTTATAAAGAATTTGATGATGACATCTCCGTCGAGCTAAAATTGGATGGTTTTCGCTCACGTAAAGTTACTAAGAACTTTGGTAACCATTCAATCGGCATAGATGTACCACAAGTTTGTGACTACATGGAGGTACGACTTATTTTAATTCAATTTATGCAAATAAAGAAACTGATCTTTACTTACAGATACATTACGACGGCAAGAAGCCTCCACCAAATTTAAAGAAAAAATACAACTCGATTGCACACATATTCGGCGCTAACACTACTGCAATGGAGCGCTTCCTGCTCGACAGAAAAATAAAGGGTCCTTGCTGGTTGACACTGAATCAATTCCGTGCGAACCCAGCACCTATAAGCTGGTGTAACACTGATGTTAGCGTCAGCGAGCCCAAGGGCGTCACACTTTCCGAAGATCCAAAACCACAACCACCACCACCACTTACGCTCCTCACGCTAAATGTACGCACTGCACTCAATCCTAAAACTTTGAAAAATGAGATTTGCATGATTTCCATGTTAGTGCATAACCGATTTCACATCGATCGACCTGCACCGCAGCCGGCTTTCAACAGAAGCATGTGCGGCTTTACACGTCCCGTGATGGCCGCATGGCCCTACGACCTCAAAGCAAAGTTGGCACAATTCAAGGCAATCAATGTGGCAAAGCACGACAACGAGCGCGCACTGCTAATGTGGTTCCTGGCCATGTACCAGCAAATTGATGCCGATTTGATTGTAACATTCGATGCTATCGATTGTCAATTGGACGTGATAACCGATCGCATCGCAACACTCAAAGTGGGGCAATGGTCGCGTTTGGGTCGTGTGCGCTTGTCTGCGTATATTAGTGGTCGCAAATGGCTCGAGTACTTTGCCGGTCGGATGGTATGCGATGTGAAAAGAACAGCATCTGAGGAGAAAATCAAGGCGCGTTCATATGATTTGCAAACGCTGTGCCAAGCAGTTTTGGAAATTAAAGAAAACGAACGAATGGATGTGAACGATGAAGATTTATTGCAAATGTTTGAAACGGGTAAGACTTCTAACAATGGTTAAAATCTGCAATGTCTCTATGTAAACGTTTTTCTTTTCGCAGGCGACGGTGTGCTGAAACTAGTAACACTGACTATGCAGGACGCTGCTTATGTACTTCGCATGATGTATAAACTGGATCTGTTGCCTTTGGCACTACAAATCACCAATATTTGCGGCAACACGATGACACGCACGCTGCAACATGGACGGTCCGAACGCATTGAGTTTTTGTTGCTACACGCCTTCACTGATAAGAACTACATAGTACCTGATAAAAAGAAGCGTGAATGGAGCGATAATAACAACACAATCATTGATGGTGAGGTGAATGATACGACCGCCGCGGCCGCAAGTAGCGGACGAAAAAAAGCAGCTTACGCTGGCGGCATGGTATTGGATCCTATAGCAGGGCTCTATGATAAATACATACTACTGATGGACTTCAATTCCCTGTATCCCAGTATAATACAGGAGTATAACATATGTTTCACCACAGTGCAACAGCCTTACAACGCTGAGGATTTGCCACAATTACCTGACCCCAGTGTAGAGCTTGGTATACTACCCCAGCAGTTGCGTCGCTTGGTGCAGTCGCGTCGCGAGGTGAAGAAGCTGATGGCCAAACCAGATGTGCCACCAGAGCAGCTCAAACAGTACGATATTCGTCAGTGGGCGCTCAAGATTACTGCGAATGCGATGTATGGCTGTTTGGGTGCGGGGCATTCGCGCTTTGCCGCACAGCATTTAGCTGCGCTAGTAACGCACAAGGGCCGTGAGATACTGTTGAATACAAAGAGCTTGGTACAAAAGATGAACTACGAAGTGGTGTACGGTGATACCGATTCCATAATGGTGAATACAAACATACTGGACTACGATCAAGTGTTCACAATTGGCAGTAGTATCAAGCAGAGCGTTAACAAAATGTACAAGCAAGTCGAATTGGGCATCGATGGCGTCTTTAGTTGTTTGTTGTTGTTAAAGAAGAAGAAGTATGCCGCTGTGAAAGTGGACAAAAACCCGAAAACTGGTAAGTTTGAAGTCACCGAAAGCAGAAAGTAATTATACTAAAGCATGTAAATGTAATCAATTCTACTTTTAGGTGCACTGGTTAAAGTGCAGGAGCAAAAAGGTCTTGATATTGTACGCCGCGATTGGTCGCAGCTCGCAATTATGGTTGGGCGTATTGTGCTCGATGAAATCCTCTCAGAGAAACAACTCGACGAAAAATTAGATGCAGTGCATTCACATCTCGAAAAGATACGAGGACAAGTCGAATCAGGGGCTGTGCCTTTGCCGATGTACACTATAACAAAGCAGCTTTCCAAAGCGCCAACAGAATTCAATAATGCTATCTCACAGCCACATGTGCAAGTAGCGCTGCGCATGAACTCAACACGCAATCGTCGCTATAAAAAAGGAGACATGGTGGACTATGTTATATGTTTAGATGGCACAAATAATCCGGCCACACAACGCGGTTATCACTTGGATGAGGTAAAGTCCAGCGAGACGCTAAAATTGGACACACAATATTATCTGGCACACCAGATACATCCGGTGGTGACGCGCATGGTGGACGTGTTGGAGGGCACAGATGCAAGTCGTGTGGCCGAGTCATTGGGTTTGGATCCGAGCAAATTTAGAGCCGCTGCACAAAGGTAGGTAGTGTGATGATTAAATTTATTTTTAATTTTTCATTTCATATATTTTTTTGTTTTTGATAACTTCTAAACCCAGATCCCATCAAGAACGCACCGAAGATACAACTGGTGAATCGCTTGTAAAGACTACCTTACAAAAATATCGTGAATGCGATAAGTTTAAATTTGTATGCATTGCCTGTAAAGCTGAGAATATCGTCGCAACCGCTTTTCGCCCGAATGCATCAAATTCATACGACGCAGTGCTACAAAAATGCGCTAACAGTGATTGCAGCACTGCCCCGTATCAGTACATAGTAGCCATACGTAATCGCTTATTGCTCAGTATACGCTCATACATTAAACGCTTTTATCAAAACTGGCTCGTCTGTGATGATCCATCATGTAATCAGAATACACGTTTCTATACGCATGTGACGACGGGAAATCGACCCATATGTCCATTCTGCAAAACTGGTTCGTTAGTTCGTCAATACTCTGAAAGGAATTTGTACCAGCAGCTCAGCTACTTTCAGTATATGTTCGATTTGAGCAAATATCAACATAAACGTAAGTGTGAACGAATTGATAAGTAGTTGAACTATTGTGTTTCCTGTTGATATGGACAAACGCTTTTAATTCCACTCTGCTCTCCATTCTAGACGTGCCACTCACACCAGAAACAGAGGCCGCCTACCAAATGCTCGTCGACACGGTGAATCAGCAACTTGAAAAATCGGCCTTCTGTACAATATCCCTGGGGAAATTATTCAGCAGTTTCAAGCCCCTTGAACAGAGTGACGAAATTTCGCATAAGAAAATCGAGTTTTCACAAATGGAAATGCAAGTGGCCACTAGCCTTGACGACAATTAAGTTTTTAACAATATTTTATTAGTGGGCTAGTGTTGACCTAAGAAACGAGAGTTCTAAATTTTTTCTTAAATAATTACTGTATAAAATATTTGTAAGAGAAAGTATTTTAACCCCAATACTTACTTTGTAGAAACAAAGAACAAAACTCTTTTTTCTAAATATGTATTTTTTTTATCTTTTTCCTAAACCTAAATTAAGTGTTATATCAAACATAAACACTTACATACATACATTTTTTAATCATGTAAATCAACTAGCACACTAAAAGTAAGCCAACGAAACAATAGATCGTATAATACAATATGTAACAACAATTCGGATAACAAATATTTTAGGCACACAAACACACGTGGCATCAACTTAAAAATTTCGCTATAGGAAACTTGCGAAATGATTCATTGAATATGTCGGTAAATGCACTACTGACCAATTCATTTATAATAGGCTTAATAACGGGGAAGCCAATAGGCCACATGCTATTTATGACACCATCAGCAAAATTATCCAAACGCTCCCGTCCCTGTGCTAACGCATTAGCGACATGCATTTTTAAGCCACCGATCCGATCGATTTCCACACGTACTTTCAACAACGCACCGGGTGCACCAAGCCGTCGCACGCTAGTCGTCTGGCTGTAATCGTATAGTGTCATATTCCAAAAGCCGCTTCGCTTCATTTGTGTGCCAAGTATTTTACCAGAAAACTCATACCAACCTTCTAAACTTTTTTCTGGAAAATATTGGGCATAGATGATGCGCTTATTCGCATAGTCTGTGCGGTATTTAGTAACCTCCGATTGCGCCCAGCCGTATTCGGAAATGTTGCGCAAAATTAGTTTAAAACCACCGAAGCCGCTTTGATCGCCGCGTCGCAACTCCACAAAAGGTGAACGATGAGGATCGAAAGGCTTAATGTTGTAGGCGGGAACACCTGAGACGGAAGTGAAATGTTAATATTTGTTAGTAAACATGCAAAAAAATATTTCGTCGTCATCATGGCCAAAGACCGTGGAGTAGAAGCAATACCTTTTTTTATGAAGTGCTTTTAGGCTTCAAGAGGACGTAAATTTTGAATTTTTAATGCCTTAAGGCAATTAATGTTTGAAAGCTTGCTTTACGAGTTATTTTTCCGTCTGTACATGGCGAAATTGTATTTTCTTCATAACAAATTTTATTACGTACTAAAATTTTTAGTTTTGTGCTGCATAACTAGATTTGAATTTTTTCGGATAGAATTGATTTACATAACGACTGCCCTTGGGAAATGTATAGTTATTTAAAATAACTTCAACGATATGTTTTAATACTTGACAAGGACGAGCATTTTTATCAATTCAAAATCATTTCCAAGTATGTAATAACAAGCCTCTCTTCGCGACCTAGTCTAGGTCTATGTATGTATGTAAATCAGTGCCAACTATTAAATTAAACATAAATACATAGGGCACTTGGTAATGATGACGATGAATCCTTGAACTTTTTTTTTTATAATAATTTTGCTTTTGTTTTCGCTCACCAGTCGGAAAATAGGCGCGCAAATCATTGAATACCTCCTTCATGCAATCATCAAATTCGGTGCTGCCCATTTTGCACCTGCCCAACAATCGTTGAAAGTCATCATCCACTGTAATTTGACCTTGTGCATGTGCGCCGAGTCTCGTAGCTGCGCAAGTTATTACAATTACCATTAAAATGCATTGCAGCAGCAGCTTTGATATGATTGAGAGTAGTGAAACGCGTCTAATGCGGAGATCAGGTTGCGCATGCGCAGCAGTTACTCTACTCATGCGATTACTGATGACACGGTCGCTGCGGCTGTAATAACTATTGTTGCTACTATTGTTATGTCGAATGCTGTTGCTGCTGCTGGACATTGAAGATAATTTGTGTATTTTTACAAGCTTTTTTTCGCAGTGGCTATTACTCTCTGCTGCTGGAAGCTGTAAACAAGTAGTGTAGATTAGATTAAGTAGAAAATAGCTCAAGGAGATGGAAGTACATATCTGTGGACTTTTGAACAAAACAGCTTCTGTGCTTTCTGCAGTTTTGAATTTAGGGTAAAATATAGGGAACTACTATTTGATAATTTTACATTTTAATTGACTTTCATTATGGTAGCATCTTTAACTACTCACATTAATGAATAAAAAGAAAAATATGTATAAGAACTCAATTTGCTTTGCAGAGAAAATGACTGCGTCTAGAGAAGTTGTTTTGCCAAATGTCGACAGATACATAGGTACGCGACAATTTTGGAAGTTTTATCTATTTTTCTTTTGTTTATTTAATATTTATTATTTTATATAAAAGTATAGCTCATTATCTAACAAAAATCATATAAATTCATATTCAAACTTTGTGCAAAAATTATAAAAATTCTGCAAAATTGCAACTAAATTTTAAACTTTTTAATCAGACATATTTTTTTTGAGCATGCAGTTTTATGGCCCATTAAATTCTAGTATGATAAAGTGCAAGTTTGAAGTCACGTTGATTTTTGATAATTTTTTTTCTGACTTACAATATATCATACAAAAATAAAAATAATAAATTGCGTGAAAAACTACCAAAAATCAACGCGATTTTTTAGCAAGTGAAAACTTTTTAAAACTGTTTATTTTTACATATATAATAATATTTTTTTATGAAATTTAATTTTTTAATTTCCCGTTCACCTATATTTAATAACAATTATTATTTTTAAATTTACTTCGCACTTCCATTTTACTTACTAACTACTTTGCAACTGCATATCAAGCCCTTACTAAGTGAAAATGCTCGTTAAAAAATTTAGAGTTTGAGTCCTTGGTGCGCAATCGCAAAGTAGGTTAACGTTGGCAAAGCAGGTCTAATGAAGTATTTGTAAAGCGGCTACGCATTTCTTTAGCGCTTAGCGTGAAAATTGCGATTGCGTAGTAAGTGGAATACAAATACATGCATATATATTCGCTGCTGGCGCATTTGGTTTGTTTATTGCACACTTTTGTTTGGTACACTGTGCACACATATGTATGTATGTATTTGCATAACAAGCTTCGCAACATTGAAGAAAACTGAACAAGTCAAATAAGTAGTCCCGATTCTGTATAGGAAATTGATTTGAGGACCTAACCATGATAAAAGCGTAAAAATTGGGGTCTGGAGCACGAGAGCATGGCTCTATATTGCTGGTGGTAAAAGCGATTCTTGTCTCTAAAGTAGTAATTTGGAAGTATGCCGGCAAGAAGAACGGTAAACACTAAGGAAACAGGCAATGTTCAGGGGTCTGGCTGCTTCCTATAACAGAAGCAAAGAAGACAACAGCGGATCTTTATGCAAGAAAGACGTGACGAGCACTTAACGTGACTAAGAAATGGACGCATCTTCATCGTTCACTAAAAAAAATTCGACCGACCAACAGCACCCAAGTTTGCGACCCATACGATTCGACTCTCGAAAATCGACAAAACATGTCTCGTGTATTTATTATCTATCTTTTTAATTATTATTATTATTTATGTACATACATGTGCGTAAGTTTTGGAACTATAATTATGCACTACTCATACATATGTATATGTATGTATGTACATTAGAGTGTCTCACCATAAAATATAGCGGTTTTTCCACCGGAACTATACAATTTATTATATTTAAAGACTTACAAACTATACATAACACACTTTCAAACAAACATCTTTAAAGACTTAAGTTAAAATTTTTTGTAAAAATATAAAGATTTACGTGAGCTGGAACGATTTGAAAATACCTTAAAAACCAAGTTCCTATTTATTAAAAAAAAAATAAAAATCACCTCAGATGACAGAAGCGTTTAAGCCTAAAAGGTCTGCATAAAAATCTTTGAAAATATTATTAATGGAATCAAAATAAAGAGATTTTTCGAAGTATTTTCAAATCTGTTCAGCTCACGTAAGTCTTAATATTTTTCTGAAATATTGCGACGAATATCTTAAAATGTAATGCAATTTATAATTCAGATGGATAATAGTACCGATGATGATGATTTTTTATTTTTTGTATAGAGTGAGATGCACCCTAATGTACAAAGTTTTCAATTTGAAGTAGTCGAATTCTTTCATATGGCTCCCAAAGAGAAGAAATAAATACTTCCTTAATTAGAAATGATTTACAATCGAAGACAACGTGCCACACAAAATGCATTTCCAACAGACAAAAACAGTCATACGTTAGTATACATCTTGTTTTAGAATAATATTCACAATTATTTTCACGAACAAATTTGTTCATTAATTTTTTATTTTTTTTTTTTTAATATTTGTAGTTCATTCTATAATACCATATTTACATGAGACGATTTTACAGGCAACTTTTAGTTGAAAGCAACAATCGCCTGATGTAAACGCCGTTTCAACTAATCGCTTCCAATGATTCAACTAATCGCTTCTAAAATTGCCTATGAAATCGCCTCATGTGAACACCGTTTAAGATAAACCATACAAATCAGAGTTTCACACTTTTAACAAAATTCACAAATTTTCATTAAAATTTTAAACTTTTTTTTCGAAGTTTGACGTCGCTAAAAATTCGAATTGATCATCGTTATATGGTAGAAAATGCGGAATACCCTCCTTAAAAGAAATTCTAAAAAGTTAACGGTAATTTTACTGACTTGAAATATGCACTTTGTTGTACTAAAATTGAAGTTGCTGAAAAAAAAATTCATACTCAAAAATTTTCTAAAAATTCTGAATGGAATGTTTGAAATTTTGAGGAAATTTTTTAAAATTTTTCTGAATTTTATGAAAAGTGTGAAACTGCACTAGAATGCACTATATTTTCATAAAAAAAAATTAAAAATGTTGCATGAAAATTATTGTAAATATTATATTAGAACAAGGTGCATACTAACTTTTGACTCTAACTGTATGTATGTACAATATTTGCGTAATGCCAATACATAAAACGGCGAATGCATTTGCCAAATTGTTTATATATTTACATACATATGTATGTATGTATGTCTGTGGGCATGCACAATTTCATAATTTCTTTAACTGCAAAAAATTGCCACACTGCAACAAAATAACACCCATTCTAGTGGCACAAACAAACATACATGCAAATAATTGTTATTGCACCAAACTTGTATGTACATACATACATACGTCTGTATGTATGTACGTCGAAATTGCACAAAAGTAAACATTAAACACTTCAAATATAAAAAACTTTTATATATTTTCTGCATTGGCGTACCCGTTGTATTCCCGTTTTGCTATATCCAAAAACAAACAGCGCTTTTGCTGAAATCGAAAACGGCTTGCACGACGCTCAACTGGCTACTGAACGTACTGGCAGATCTATTCATGTGCATAAGCGCCAAAAAAATACATCGTAAATACATCGACGAGGAGTAGTTGAGAGGAAGATGTAAATGCGAAAAATCAAAAAAAAAAAAAGTCAAAAAATAAACTCAATCATAATTGTTGTAGTGTATATACATTAGACCGTACTTGAGTCTTAAGTATTTTGCAAGACAATTTCTATTTTTTCTATGACGTACCACCCTAATATCAGTAAATTAAAGACCTCAAAAAATCTTTAAACTTTTGCTGAGGTAATTTTTTTTTAGATTATTTAAAAAGGAGTTGTATTGCCGAATGTTGTGTCACCGAGAAATGTAAAAAGTCGACCCCTAGGTTCGGCAAAAAATGTTCGGCTTGTAAAGTGGCACGGTCTAATGTACATACATACATGCATGTGTAAAAAAGTACTTGTGTAGAAGATGCGAGCTTGGTATGCACTTAAAAATGAGCAAGAAGAGGGCTTTGCCTGTATATACATACATACATACATACATATGTACATATCTAATGGAATGGTAAAGTTTTTCAAGTACATTCGTTTTTTTTTTTTTTTAGTTATAGGTAACAGAATTCACATCTAAAAGCTGCGCTTGAATTTGAAATTGTAAAATTTTTAATTAATTAATTTAATGTTCTGAATTCACTACTTATGTTTGTGCATACATACATACATATGCATTTTATGATTAAAAAAAAAAAAAAATTTTCTAACCCAGTGGGAATTAGGAGCACGTAATAATACCTTATTAGCAACTTACTCTTCACCTGGCAGTCATTACCATTTCCCTGCCGAACGTCCCTTACTTTTACAAAGGCATGGCCGCCTTATGTAAGTAGGAATTTAGAATGTACATTTGGTATCAGACATACTTCTGAGCCGCTTTACAAAGTAAGTTACGTGTAATGCAGAGCAGTCGCTCGGAGTAGTTCGGTGCTTGGAAATAACTTCGGCTGCACGTTATTTTGCAACTGACAACGTAATGTGTCTTCGGATGTGTTCATTTTGCCCTTTGCTAGTAGATGACATTTGCCATGATGACAATTTTGGTACTAAGAACTGAAAGAAAACATGGCTTACCTCGCAAGGTGCTTACCTATTTTCCCAGTGGGAGTATACATTCATATACATATGTATGTACATACACACATTTGTATCCACCATGCAAAACATGAGAAATAGGCAACAATTGTCAATGGCAACAAATTGGCGACTCTACGATTTATTGCTGTGGTGACAAATCGGCAACATCACTTCGTTCATGTCAATTTTGAATAAAAAAATTCTCAAAAATTCCGAAACTTATGAATATGGCGTCAATAGTATTGGCCAAAAGCGTCTAAATTATGCCCAAGGACAAGATTGAAAAAATAGGAAGTCTCACAGCGAGAAAATGAATTAATTCCGATTGTAAGTTGCAATTTGGTATACAAAAAAATAAATGAGGTATTAAAAAGAATAAAATTATTCCAAATATCGCCTGAAGCGATAAGAAAAGGACTCATTCAGGTAATAAGAAAACGACTCGCCCAGGCGAGTTGCCTTCGGCGGACGTTTTAGAGCGACCGGTAATAGGAAATCGATTCGATGGCAATATTACCGGCAATAAATTTGTTTCCGAGGGCGACACGTTTTCTTATTACCGGCAACACAAATTGTTTGGTGGGTACATACAAAGTGCGGGTACATGCATATCATCCATTTTTAGCATTAGGCTTCGCTTC